CAGGTATTTTTTCAGGTATCGAAGGAGTCACCGGCGGTAATTAGTGCAAATCACGCCCATGCCAATCCACATACTTTAGATTTTATTAGAAGAGTGCATTGAATTGTGGGAAAATCAATGTTTATCGACACAAATGTCGCACATGCGCAGCGCGACGACTACCGCTCTTTAAGAATTAACATTTTCAAATTATAAATCAAATCATGTCACATCATATTGTATATGTTATTTACAGTCGTCTTCAGTTTCACCAATGATGGATGAGTTTTGCTCATCTAAATCCGAAAATAATAATAATAATAATAATAATAATAATAATAGGGCAATTATTTCCACGAGTTACAGTTCAGTTCTGTTTAAAATACAAATAATAATAATAATAATAATGTGGTGATATGAAATACTGTAAAACATGTTTAAATGGCTACATGCCATTTTAGCGAATTTGACTCCATGCATGAATTAACAGAATCTTCATTTAGCTAAAGTGCCAACAATGTAAACGTGAGAATATACTTTATTTTAAATTAGCGACATCTTGAATTAGCGAAATTAGCTAAAACAACATGCTAGCTAAAAAGACATGTTTTACAGTAATTCAACAATAAATTTTACAGAATCAACGTTATCTTTGAAAATAAAGGGCAATTCTTGACCACGGACTGACGTCACACTTTGCAACTTCGCCGTGGAAGTTGGTGGGGCTTTAAACACGCTGAGAAAAGTGCGGGAAATCCTTCAAATAATTTTAGATTATAGACTAAAATGTGGTCAACTTAGAAAGTAGACTGAGACTTTAACTACGAAAAATAATCCAGTCGCGTGAAAAAAATGTACCTAAAAATATAATTTGTTTTCAAAAGAACGGCGAAAAGGAATCGACATTAGGCTCATTGGTCTAAATTTTCACTTTTCTGTTTATAGAACATATGCGTCGGGCATCATGGCATGCATTGCGCCATCTAGCTTTACACCAGCTTTTGACTTCAAGAAGGTTGTCTCAATTACTTTTTTTCTGTAGATTATTTTTTGCTAAATGTTCTCCTAAAAAAATTCTTTTTTTAATCTAACCAAGTCCCAATTCTTATCAAGATCTGTATAATTATTTGCATAACTTACATCTAAGTTAATGAGATGTTAATTCTGATTCGCCATCTAAATATCTTTACGTTCAATAGTTTTCTCATCAACACTTGCAGCATCGCGTCGAAGCATGGATTCAAGCTCCATCACCCTTGATTCGAGTTCCGACATTCTTTTACTCTTGTACTCAATCTCCTGTTGTATGATTTCATTTAATGTAGTATACCCTCCCTTCAGGTTATCATGACGCTTTAGAAACTCTTGTAATTCATCAATACGTCGATTTTTCTTTTCGTTTTCCACCTTTATGTGATGTATTTCATTGTTTAATGCAGGAATAACTTTGTTCTCGTATTTCTTTTTCACTTCATCCAATTCAATGTTTTTATCAACAAACAGGTGTTTTATTTCTTCGCGTAAATCATTGCATCTTTTTCTAAGTAGTGTGTTTTCCTCGGTCAACATTGTAGATTTGTCTTCAAATACTTTAATTTTATCTGCTACATGATTTCCAGCAATGGAATTAATAGGATTGTTATCAGTTGGCGCAAATGAAGTTTGCTGACTTGCTGATGCGTGTAATGTTGAATCAACTGATTTTATCATGTTATCTTCATGTACCACATTGCTTTTTGTCTGAACTTCACTACTATTCGCACTGGACGTCAAATCTACTGTTATTTCTTTTAGTAAGTCATTATCTGAGAGACTCATTTCCTGTACTAGTAAATCCATTTGTGTCTTGACACCAGATGCTGTGTAAGTTGCGTCAGTTTCACTTGCAACATAATTGTTTTCTATGGTAGTTTCAATTGTAGTTTCATCCACCCTTGGCACAGAAACATTATGGCTATCTTTGTTATCACTGTATTCATCATTCATCTTAACATCAATTTCGTTATGTGGGTCAGAATATTCATGTTCAGGCTTGCTAATTGTACCTTCCCCATTGTTATCATCAATGGACATCACTGTGTATTCACTGGAGGACTCTGGTTTTATTTCTTCATCTAGAAGAACGTACACGTTTTTGTCATTCATAGATGACTTTGATTCAATTGACTTGGATATGTCATCATTATCTGTATCACCACTATTTTTTGATTTGGTCTCGTCATGAACATCATTATCTAGTTTATACGAATCTAAACCAGGTCCTTCTTTATCATCTTCAGGTTCTTTGACACTGGTCTGCTTATCATTATCTTCACATGTTTGTTCATCAAGAGGTTCTGAATTGTCACCTCCCTCTTTATCCTCTGAAGGTTTTTTAACATCAGCCTGCTTATCAATCTCCTCACTTGTTTGGTCATCGAAAAGTTCCGAATAGTCACCTTCCTCTTTATCCTCTTCAAGTTCCTTGACATCATTCTTCTTATCATTATCCTCACTTGTTTGGTCATCAAGAGGTTCTGATTCATCTTTTCTTTCTTTATCCTTTTCAGGTTCTTTAACATCAGCCTGATTATCATTCCCCTCACATAATTGGTCATCCAGAGGTTC